AGCGAAAGCGCACTGGCATATTGTTTTCCATTTTGACAGCCGCTACTGACAGCTTCATTGAGGCAAAGCTCGTTTGCCGGTTTCCAAACAAATGTCAGCAGACGTCAAACTGCATAATCATGAATGCAAACGAGTGCGTTTGTGGGAGTGTGGGCTGGAAGAGGAGTATTGGGTGGGACAGACAGTATAGTGATTATAATCAAGCAGCAAAATAAGCGTGTGGGAAATGTAAACAAAACATTAAAGGCGTTGAAAATTAATCAAAACAAATATGAAGCGAAGAGCTATAAATGGAAAAAACTTACATATGTATGTACGTATGCATATATATTAAGCGCTGAGCAAATGAATGAATGAAGTGCCAAGCAGTTGAAAGCGCGCTGAAATAAATAAAAGTAAAAAATAGTTATGCAGATGTTCATCTGCATCTCTAGCAGCGTGTGAATGTGGGGCGTTAAGGATATGCAGCATGGCTGAGTGGCAGCGTGGCAGCGTGGCAGCTTGGAAGGCAGGCAGGCAGGCCAACCGCCGGCAGCTGTCAAAAATGTCATTTACGCTTCGGCATTGCCGCAATGGACACATGTTAAAGACATTGCGCAAGTTTTATATTTCGATTATTTTCATATGTTAGGCTTGAAATAACTACATACATACATGCATTGATATATCTGTATGAAAAAATTCGATAGCATTGCTACAAAACTTTTTTTTTTTGCCCATAACTGTTAAATGGCTTTCCCATCGCACTCGCCGTTTTTGGCCAGGAGGGTGTTGCCAGAAATGTCCACAGCAGCATTCCAACAAACATTCCAGCGGCTGTAAAAATTTTAAGACATGTAAAAAGACAAGCAGACCTATTCAAGCCACATGTGCACAATTTTTCATGCATATAAAATTTATACCAAGCAATTTTATGTGCAAGTACGTCAAAAAAATTGGAAAATGTGTTCAAAACATGCATTTAATAGTTCTTCGATCGAAGGCACATACACAAAAGCATCCATACACACCTACATAGCTGTATTTTCACTCGCTAGAGATGGTTACCAGCAGGGACTTGAACCGGTTTTGAACCGAACCGGGTTTGAACCGGAAAACCGCTTTTTTCAGTTACCTAACTGAACCATTAACCGAACCAAAATTTTCCACAAATGTCTGTTCCGAACCGAAAACCGAAACAGACACTTGACACTTATGCTTGCGCGTTGTTGCACTTGACACTTGGGATTTAAAGCTCAAACAGTAAACGACGTAACGTAGACGTAGGTTGACGTGACACGATCTACCTTATGGGATTCGCGTGTTAACGAAAACTCACCACCGCATGGCGGTGACGTTGCCATTGCTTCTCTCTCTCTCTATCAACAGTAAATTTGATATGCTGCTACGTACGTCACCCTACGTTTACGCTACGTCGTTGGCTAACTGCGCTTTTAAGCATGCGCGTTAATTTTTTTTCCGAACCGTTGAACCGAACCGAAACCCCGCTTCAAAGACCAAAATTCTGATTTGGTGAACCAATTCAAAAGAGCAAAACGGTTCGAACCGTTGAACCGAATCGACCAAATTTTTTATCCGGTTCACGACCCTGGTTGCTAGACTTCGGGCCGAAACCAGTACATACATATATTCGGAATTGTAACCGCCTACCGAAAGTTGGGCGCAAATTCTTCTGATCTAATTAACGAGCGAAGCAAAGTCCCTCCCCAGCTGATATTTCTAAAACATCGAGTACCTTTTTCTTCAGCTAACACCACTATCGGGTACCGCATCGAAAACTTACGTCCTTTTATAAGACGCTTCCTAGCATAGTCCCTGGTAATTTCGTTTCGATTTCTCCCTGAATGGTTGTAGTGATCTGTTCTTCAAAGTATTTGTATACCTCAAGTTATCTTGGCTGGTTAGTAAGATCACACATAAACTGTAAGATGGTCATTTGTTTGATGACAGGAGGCACTTCGTTTCCGACCAGAACCATTCGCTTTGCTTCCTTATTCAACTTAGAAAAGGCAGAACAGACTTCGCGGTTTTTATTTCCGATGAAGTCGATGTCAACGGCTTACGCCAGAAATTGCACGCTCTTGTAGTAAATCGTTCCTGAGCGGTTCAGTTCTAGGGCCCTCATCATCTTCTCCAACATTAGATTAAAGAAATCACATGAAAGATAGTCATCCTGTCTGAAACCACGTTTGGTGGCGAACGGCTCGCAAAAGTCTTTCCCAATTCTAACGGAGCTGGTGATTTTGCTCAACGTCATTTTACACAGCCATATCAGTTTCTCGGGGATAACAAATTCAGACATCGCGGCGTATAGGCAACTCCTTTTAGTGCTGTTGAAAGCAGTTTAAAGTCGACAAATAGATAGTAAGTGTCGATCCTTTTCTCGCGGGTATTTTCCAATATTTGACGTACTGTGAATACTTGGTCATGTCTAAAGCCACGCTGATAAGGTCCAATCAGTTCTTTGACGGTGGGCTTCAGTCTTTCACACAATATGTTCGATGAGACCTATAGCAGAAGCTTTGGCTTACAAATAACTTGGCCGTATTGAGTTTTTAGCGTGTAGCCAGTCCTTAGGTCCACAATTTCCTTCAGTGAGGAGAAGAAAGTAGATTTCCCATAAGTACCCCAAATAGTACCTAGCAGTCCAGCGTTGAAAATGTTAGAACATTGTTGGTGGTTTTTGCGGTGTATACAGGAAGCGTGTGTTAGTTACATGTCTAATTCTCTCTTTAAACAATTGCAGGATGGGTATCTACCTAGTGGGAAGTTTACTCGAATTTTTACCACCAAAGCGGCCCACTCATTCCCTTCAATTTCTTTTTTTTGTATCCAGTCACCCAGTATGTAGCGACCCGTCTATTATCGCAGAGTTCATCTAAAATATTCCTGCATTGTCGTATATAAAGCGAGTTTGTCATACTAACCATTACAGCTTTAATGGCTTCGCGGCTGTCGGTGAAAAAATTTACTGGTGCATATTGAGAAGTAAGAGCCGCAGCTGCCGACCAAGCTATTTATGATGCGGCATGTCGGTGTGGTCTTGGTTCTGAGTCCTTTCTTCAGGCCACTTGCTTGGCTTTAGTCCACCCTGGGACATAAATATCTTGCTGTTTGACATATCCTGGTTTTCTCTGATATGAAGCTTTTCTGTTGAGGAGTCCTGCCACACGTTTCTTCCACCGTGAGACCACCTCTATGGCTTCCTTCCTCGTCAACTCAACCCGAGCGTCAAGCCGTCTTCCGCAATATCACTTTGACCTGCTACCCACAAAAGTGTACTTAGAAAATATTCGCACGAGACAAAAACGGCAGGTTGGCGGTTCGCCTCTTTGCTATAAGAAGGAATGTTTGCTTTCACTGATCCTTTGGAGCCATCGATTTTAAACAACTCTGGTCCTACCATACAGCTACTGCTACTCGACCCCACATCCATTGAGAAGATAGCTTCTTTAGTCCAGTCGCTATACGTAGTGTTCTGTGCTATTAGTCAGTTATGGATTGAGTTAAGTACCAGATAAATTCAATACCGAGAATCTGCCGACATTCGTTTATCACTATTTTCTTGAAAGTTAGCGGAACTGCGTACAACTAGCATATATGGTGCTTCTATTACCCTATCACAGTGGGTCCAAAGCGGCCTAAGTGTGTCTTTTTCCCGGATTTGGGTTAACCAGTTCATTTGACTTCTGAACAGTTCTGGAGGATGTGAAAAATATGGCGACCGTCTTACATTTTAAGGAAGTTCGAATGAGCAGACGGTGTCGCAAAAGGAGAAATTTTCATTATGTTACAACAAAAACTATTTAGCAGCATCACACTCTTCTCCATCACCTTAAAAAGTGAAATAAAAGACGGAGTCGGTATCAAACACTTGTTCAAACTCACATCTCTAGCACTCAGGATGCATTTTTTTCATATGCATATTTAATTTTTATGTTACATGCACCCATGACCACAGAGATTGTTGCATAATTGATATGGCAGCCTGCAATGTTAGCAACATTTGAACAGCTTCAACTAACAACCAAATTCGGGCTGGTTTCGTTACGGTACTGTCGCTTATTTCAATTATGATTAAGCATTGTGGAACAATTGATTTGTGTGGACTGTTTGCTGTAAGGAATTCAAAAACAACTACATGACAAATAGATACATATATGTATGTATATATTTTTATTTTTATTTTGAGGCAACATGTGCTCACCGCCAGCCACGGGGGGTCGCCTTTTTTTGCTTATGACACCAACAGATGATGGATGGCGGTGCAGTTGAAGGGGTAAAAGCATAAAAAAGCTAAAAAAAGTATTTAAGAAATAAAAAGTAAGATGCAAATGTGTGAATTGATGGGTCAATAAGTGTTTTGTACGAGTACTCGCTTGCCTGATCATGTATGTATGTACATGACAGCTGGCATTGGCGTCAATAAATATACAATAAATAACAAATGTGTTTAGGACTTTTACTAGACTTGAAGAGTTTAAATCATTTTACGAGTATACAATAAACATTTTATTAAAAATGTGTGATCACTGGCAAGTAAAGGAGATTGGAAACGCTCTATAAATCGGGGTTTCACTGGAGTACAATTTTTCCAAAGATAGCCAGGCCTCTTGAGCTAAGCTTGTACTAGTCATAAGTGCTTAAAACAATGCTCAATCGAACTCTCAGTGATTATGTTGACTATGGACTCGGTAGCCAGTCTTAGAGTATGAAGTTCAGTTCAATCCAGGGACGTGAACGGGTTTTGAACCGAACCGGTTTTGAACCGGAAAACCGATTTTTTCTATTAATTAACCGAACCGAAATTTTCCACAAATATTTTATCCGAACCGAAAACCGAACCACTTTGCATAAAGGTTTAATTATCATTACCATTATTAAAAAAATTACCTTATCTGAAACGTAGAATTTTAATCAAAATTTTCTAACCTTCCATTTACTATCTTTTTTTAATTTCTATTAACTCTCTCTCCCTTCCTCACTCTTTTTCATTCCAGATCTCACACATGCTGAAGTCAAACCAAAATTGGAAATTTTTCCCATGCAAGAAGTACAAAGGAAACCAGTTGGCAAATCATTGATTCTAACCTGTAAACCGATTGTGGCTGATCCGAATTTGGTATCGGATTTGCAATGGAAGGATAATATGAATAATACAATATTGCCCAAACCGTAAGTTGAGAAGCAAAAAGTTGTACGAATTAAATATTAAAATTTTAAAGAATTAATCCAGAGAATTATTTCCTATGCTCTAAAACAAAAATATAAACACTTGTATATATAATAACTATAGTGTAGGACTCCCAAGCCTTAAAAATATAGTATATCTGAAATGATTCTGCTATCTCTAAAATCTATAGTAAATAACTTGAAAGTAACTTACCTGTAAATATTTTAAATTGTATAGATATATAAAAACATATCCCAACGCCTATTAACTTTTTGGTAATTATCTGCAGAACTCGCAATATTAAAAATTTATTGAAGTTAGACAAAAGAAAAACTATATAATATTTTATGGCCTAAATGAGCGAAGTAAATTATCTTAAAAACAACTTTCTAAGTATTCTTGTACTAAATATTTTTTTTTTTCTGAGATTAAGTTCCTATAAGCTTTTTTTAAAACACTTAAATATACCGGTTTTTTGATAATTTAGAGCTTTTTAATAATTTCCTTATGGGTCAATCGACCATTTTTGATTTTTGTGAATTTTGATCAGAACTTTTCTTTTATCGTATATCGTATAACGAAGTTCTGCCAAAGAAAAAAATAAAAATAAAATTCTGAAGTTATGCAAAATTCTTAATTTGACAATTTTTATATTACAGTTACAAAATCTGGTCTAGTTCTAAAAGCGATATTTAGGGACATAAAGAAAAAATGCATACTAATGTATATAAAAAATTCCAAAAGTTATAAACATACATACCCAATTTCACCAGTCAATTCTAAATTTATCAGGATGTTAAATATTAAAATCACAAGATTTTATTCGAAATTTTACTATTTCAAATTTTAACAGTCTAATGAATTTTAAAAGTGATTGGTGGAACCGAGCATAAGGCAAGTAGAAACTTTTATAAACTTTAGACTAAATCTTTTTAATACCAAGAAGTTTACACGAAGAAGTTTTTTAAGGATATCAATTTTTGAACTTCGAAAAAATATTTCGTTCGCAAATTCTATGTGAAGTTACATATGTGAAAACATTTTTATTTCACTTAAATTTACTTTTAATTTAGAGTAGATACGCAATTTTTTTTATTCAAGAAATATAACTTTAAAAGCACCTACTTGAAATTTATCGGGTCTTTTAAGATAAACTAGAGGTATTTTTACATATAAAAATATCCATGAATTTAATACAAGTAAGATATTGCTTTTACGGTTTTTTACTTTGAAAATTCTGAAATTTTTTTTACTTTTCGACTTTTTTAGTAAATTTATTTATTGTACTTATGAATATGCAAAAAAACACCATTTATTAGCTTTAGACCTTCTCAAAAATTGAACTTGCTAAATCCGCGAAATTTTGAACTTTCGAAAAATATTTTATACCTAAGTATATTTTTCCTCTGGCAAAACTTCGTTATGTTACAAAAGAAAAGTACTGACCAAAACTCATCCAAATCTCAAGAAATGTCAGTTCTAACCATTGATCGGTTTGAACCATAAAGTTTTAAAATATTTTAAGTTACTGTATTGACGCTTTTTTATAAAAAATTTATTTAACCTAAATTTATAACACAGTATTTCTCTACTCTATACAATATAGCTACACATTTTAAATCTAAATTATTTATATCACTTCTGTATATTTAATTTGCGCTATTAATTTATTTTTTATTCTCTTATTACAATCTTTTTTACACAAAAAAAAAATTTAGGAACAAATACTATTATCCACTGTATGATTCCAAAGGACGTAGATTACCCGCTGTGTAAGTGTAAAAAACACTCACTATCTTTCGCTGAACGCTAATGTTTGTGTGCCTAAACTGAATGAGTCATCATTAGTTAATGCGTTTTTTTTAAATAAAAACCGAAGCATTTTAGTGCAAATATTTAGCATTCATACCAAGTAATCTTTTTTGCGAAAAAAAAACTAAACGATTTTTAGAATAAATTTAGCCGCACCCGGCACCTGAGGCATGCCCCTAATGCACATGTACGTAATACCAACTCAACAACAATTTAGCGCGCACACAAACCACTAATGCAACTGTGTTGCCTTGTCAGCCATTAACATGCAATGTTGCCAAGTTGCTGTAGCCAATTGCCTAATTTTCATTAATTCAATGCATTTGCAGTAATTTTTACTGGTTTTGAAGAAACCAAACATTTTTTGTTGGTATTTTCATTCGTAGTTTAATCCTTTAACAGAGAATATTATGAAATAGCATTTATGTATAAGCGCAGCAGTTTCGCATTTTTCCAGCATAAATTATTGCATTGTTAGCTTCGCACGTTACGTTCTTTGAAATTTTGAAATTAGAATATGTAGTATAAAAATGTTATGTTTTTCATTGTTTTGAAATATTATTTATTATTTTTGCTACGTTTTTCATAATACGCAAATACTATTAGGAGTATTACCTTGGACTGGAAGAAGCCTCGAACAGCTCGAAAAATTTCAAAATTCTATGAACTTTCAGTTTAAGAGAACCTCCCAATTATGATTTATCAAAGTTTAGTTGTCATTTTATAGACTAATGTAGCTGTAGTTTGTTACCACTATTTATGTTACTACCTCTTAATTTCTTCTATCAACTTAGTTCTTCCCGTAAGACTAAAATATTTAATTAAAATTAAAAAATTTGCTCATCGAATTTTAAGCTTTATCAGTCACCGCACCTTTATGCGCAAAAAAAAACAGTGAATAACTATTTCATACTTCTATTTTACAATACATCGTATAATAGACAACGCCTCATACTTACATAAATATGTATCTTAGTTCATTTTTTTGTTTATATACCTACTCCTCCCACAAATAGCGCTTCATTCGTACATTTAAGCCCCAATTTTAATTAACATTAAACATTAAAAGCATTACACTTCATTTCATTTACTCCTTCGCTGCCTAATTAAAAATATTTAATCTCTCATTGCGTAGTCCTCTCCATATTCTTCGGTCGTTTGTGTGTCCGCCTGCCTTTCGTTTTCATATTCGCAAGCGAATTTCATTTTCAATTCACTTACAACAGTTACGATAATCTCCTTGGCGAATACATTCACAGTGGAATTAGTTTACTAACACTCAAAAATGCGAATGTCAAACATTTCTATGCTTAGTACGTGCTTAGACATCTTGTTACTAAAAAAACAATCCAAATATTTACTAAGAGCATTTTTGAAACGAAATGTTTGCCAAAATTTGCATTGAAGTAGAATTTTTCTTATGAGTTTTCATTTTGCCTATGTCATTTTATCATATTTTCTTTATGTTGCATCATTTTATTTTCTAACTTTAATTATAGCTTTGAAACAAAACCTAACCTTAAAAAGCATAATAAACTAATAACAATAAATTCTAAACTATTAAATAAAACTGATTATATGGAAAATGTTTGTCCAGGGTTGGCTCTCAAAGCACTCAACCGATTTTAATAATTGTTTTTTTTTTTTAATGAAGCATTTGTGTAACACAACCAAGTGCCAGTTTTTTATTCTTGGAAGATAAGCATCCTTTTTAGGGGGTAACGCAGTTTTGACAAGTCACTGCAGTGAGAAATCGCCAGTTTGGTTCTCAAAAATCGTCATTTGCATGTAAAAATCATCAACATATAAAAAATTAAAATAAACAGAACCCGGCAGCACTTTTAGTTTTTTTCTGATTCATATACGTACGTAAAAAATCAAAGATTTAACTTTCTTAGGAATTTTTAAATTTACAAAAATATTTTTAATTGCAATAAAATCGCATTTTGATCTTCATTTTTAGATCATTAATGCCTGTTGAACTGCAACATTTCCAAGAGTACTTCAGAAAGCGTCAAATGTACTTTAGAAACTGTAAAATGTTCTTCAGAAAGCGTCAAATGTACTTCAGAATTGTCAGTTGTAAAATGAACGTAATTTACGTTTTACACATTTGACGGTTTCTAAAGTACATTTTACGTTTTCTGAAGTACATTTTACGCTTTCTGAAGTACTCTTGGGAAAGGTCTAATCAATTTTAAATTTATCAGCCTGTTGAAATTTAAAAATACACAATTTTGTTCGGAAAATTAAACATTTTGAATTTCAACAGTCTGAAAAATTTTACATTGATTAGTGAAACTTTGGATAAGAGGCACAATATTTGTTTTTGTCACAAAGTTTTTCTCTATTTTCCGTAATAATTTATTCATAATTTCCTTCGCTCAATAAAATATGTATCAGTACACAACGCAAAAACTACGAATATTGATGAAACAAAGAAGAAAACTATTTATCGACAACTACTGTCAGTTCTGTTACATCATATAATTTGGATACGACAATTATTTATTAGCAAAATTGGTAGACAAGTGTCTACACTGCAATTTTTAGTTGTCTGTGTAACTGTCTTCAAAGTTGAGAATCAACCAAATTTGCACATAAAGAAAAATCGTCATTGGGGCAAAAAAATGCTCAAATCGTAATGGCCGTAAAAAATCTTAAAAATTACGACTAAATCGTCAACCTGGCAACACTGGGGTAAAGTTACAAACAAATACAAGGACGTGCAAACATGAGACTATTTGGTACCCTGCAGTAAATCGCGCTAGTTCAGAACTAGCGCAAAACTAGCTCTTTAAGAGGCGGTACTGGTTCTCGATCTATCCCAACGCAACGCTTTCAACTGTCTCTTTTTACATGGCGATGTCCTCCGAAGTGGAAATTGCCATCTCTGCCGAACTTTCGAACTAGTCCTGAACTGATTCCATTTTCGACAGTTCTGGGACAATAAGGTTGCTATGAGAAAAAATGTTAAAACTAGATTATTGGATATTTTTTCTTTTCTGAACTATTTCCATTTCGGACAGCTCTGCGACAATAATTTCTTTATGAAAAAAATTTTGATTATTCGATTTTTTGATGTTTTTATAATTTTTTCTGTTCTTTTACAGATTGCACTTTATTTATTTTTTATTCTTTTATCTTACTTATATTAAAATTGGGAATTTTCTCTTAAATTTTTAAGCGGAACTCAACAATTTAAATTTATTTTATTAATTTATTTAAATCTGAAAATCACAACTGCCTCCATCGCGATTTGAACTCGCGACCAACGAGGTTAGAGTCGGTGGTCTTCCCGCTGAGCTATTTTAGTACTGTACGAGGAGTGAGAATGTGTGCATTTACTTCTCAACAGAGCGCAACTAGCACACCAAAAGTTTCAACTGTCCCTCCTCTGTAGCCGTTTTGCACTAGTTCAGAGATAGTTCTGAAATGTATAGGGCGGAACTAGCGCTTTAACAGACTGTCTCTAAGTTTTACTGCAGGATCTCCATCAGTGCCTATCAAATACGAGCTCACAAACGCGAACGAGATGTGTGTGAGTTAAGTGACTGCGCTGTACCACTAACGTACACACATACCCGCTAGAGCCTTTTAAATTATTCGAATAATTCGATTCGTTATTTTTCAAACAAAAAAATGTGAATTTATAACCTGCTCATTTATGTTGTTGCTTAGTAACTACAATATTTTCTCAAAACAAACTTATGTGGGGCGGTCCAGAGTTGCGGGTGGGGCATTTGAACTCGTTTTTGCTCAAACTTTTAGTAAGTTCTCTTTAACCATTAAATTGGCGAGTTTCAAATAGTTAAAGTATAAAACTTAATCATATAATTTACATAGAAAATTTTTCCAAGAAGGACGGGTAGGACAACGTTGACACCCACTTCACTGAGTTATTGGATTGTTTACCAATTTCAGACAAACTATAACGTCGATGTTTTTGCAAAACCGCCCATCGACTAATTGCAAGACCGTCTATCTTACGTCACTTAAATTTTACAGGAGAGCGAAAAAAACGTGGTTTATTTGAAGGCATTGCCTTGATAGGCGCTATTTTCTCTAGCTATTATTTTACAAATCTGTTGTTTTAATAACGATTTTATGATTTGTATGCATAAATCTCGATGCCTGGAATTCGGTGTTACCAAATCTCGTCTTTGCCACACATTTTAGATTGTGACGGGTGGGACGAGTCACTATTGAGGACACAGTTCGTGAATAAAACGACCGCTAATGGTTTGATGTGAATATTAAATAATTTTTTATAAGGGGATCTGGTTTGATCTATACGTTAAAAAATACATATTTTGCTGTGACTCCTCAGCATACATAAATTTTTGTAATAACCGTTTTAAAGTCCATTAATTGTACTTTCTTTCTGTTTTTTTTTGATAATTATTTTTTGAATTGTCATTTTGATACACCAGGAATGACTTGACAACACAGAAATCTATTCTTAACGAATTATTCTCTCTGCTTTTTCACAAGTTTAAACACAATCTATGTGTTTTATTTTTGTACCGTCTTCACTGGAATTATTCGAATAATCGATGGTGTGCGATTATTCGAATACAGCTAATCGATATAATTCGAATATTCGATTAATCGAACATCAAGAGCTCTAATAACCGCTGAGACACAATGCCTGCGAATGGCGAATTTCGCCCTACAAAGCGATGCCGACGTCCAACTTTCGCCCACCTAATACGCTTACTGAACACATATAGAGCGTTGTTTAATTCAGAAAGCTGTCAAATGATAAGGTGACCATATTTCAAGTATTTTTTGCCGTTACCGCTGATTGATTTCTATCGCCGCGTACAGTCATCGTGCGAACTTCGCCGTTTGCTTTCGTTGTGTGCGTTCTCAAATACATAGGTGTATTTTAATTTTTACAGTAAAGATTTGCTCGAAAATTTCGCCGTTCGCCGGCATTGTGCTTCAACGGTAAACG